AGAGAGAGAGAGAGAGAATGGGCCTGGCATTATCTTTTAAAGCCTCAAAGCCCACCCACAGTGACACATCTCCTTTTACAAGGCTATACCTCCTAATTCTTCCCAAATAGTTCCATTAACTGGGCTAATGTTCAAACACATGAGTCTATGCGGCCACTCTCATTCAAACCATTCAAATCACCATAATCTCTGAAATTCTCAGATCTCTTGTGCTGCCTTCCACTTAGTAGGTAGGGTTTTGAATCTAGTACACGTTCCCATACCCCTGCTTCTCCTCATAAACAGGTTGATTAGCCCTCTGTTTTTTTCCTCAGTCCTCTTGGGTGAGAGTTTTTATCACCCTCCCTTCCACCCCACCATCCCCTCCCACACTGGTTAAGGGTTTACTCTACAGCAGAATGAGTAAGGAACCTCAGCTAACTTCAGGGCACCTCTGACAGGCGTTGCTCCTATTCCATTGGTCTGCATTGCAATGTAAATTTCCAAGTTCAGATTTTTGCATTGGTTTTGGTAAACACACTTTGCGGTTGTTTGTGAGTTGGGGAAAGAGCTTGCAGGGCAGGTGATCTACTTAGCTTCTGCCCTTCCCCAACCACTTCCCCCTCAACTCCCCACTCCAGGGAAGGAGATATTTCAACCACCACTCCAGCTCACAAAGAGCATGCATGTTGGCGAATTTCTGACTCAACCTGGCAAAGTTCACTCCTGAGAGCAAGTGTTCTGTCTCCTCTCTCCTCCAGATGGCACTCTTGCCTCAGATTCGGTGTCCATTGTTTGCTGTGTCTGAGTTCAACTCTTGCAAAGGGTTAAATGTAAGTGAGGAATTGACATTTGTGTTCAGTGTTATTTTTGTTGTTACAAGGGAAGGGGTGTGCCCCACCTTCTGCTAAATTGATAGATGGCAGAGTATTGATATCGCACTCCCCTCTCCTGCATGGAAACACCTCAGTGGCTGTTCCAGGGCCCAGAAGGCCTGTTGAGTGGCATCTGGAGTAGTTTGAGAGCTATCCTCAAGCACTGAAAGCTTGCTCCACCTCCAGCTCTTACAGAGCTGTTCCCAAACAGATTCTACCATGTGCACGTAAGCCCCCTTTGCTTAAAATAGTCTACAAGGCCCCACTATGCCTGGTTGGCCTTAGAAGAGTTAAGGAAGGCTTCTCTGATGCTCTGGTTAAAAACAAACAAACAAACAAACAAACAAACAAACAGCCTTCTTCAGACACGGATCTTTTGTTCTGGGTTGTGGATTTCAGAGTATCTGCCCCTCACTCTGTGTGATTCCTAGATCATCATGCATCATTTGTACAGAAGTAGGGATATGTTTTCTGTTCCCTTTCCCAACTTTAGTAAGTTTTTCCAAAGCTGTCAAGGAACCGGATGTTCCTTGCTTTTTCCCACATGCACAAATGATTTGTTCCTAGTTTCTTTCTCCTTCCTTTCTCCAGGCACTTATCCCTTCTGAGATTCCAGGGAGCTGGGAAGGCAGCTGACAGCTCTTAATAGTTCTGAGAGGAAAATGGAAGCTGTCACAGTTCATTTTATAAAAGTATCTATTTCTGTAACCACTACCCACCAAGAAATGCAATTTTTCCAGCACCTTTCACTAGCTAATAATCCCACTGAGATAATCACGACGAACCCTGGCCATCAGTAGTATGATCCTTTCTACTAGCTACATTTTTGTCATTGTGACAAATCTGGAAGAGAACTACTTTGAAGAAGCAAAGATCTGCTTGGGTTTAAAGCTTTCAAAGTTGCAGAGCCTGTGATTAGTTGCCCTACCTTGTTGGGGGCTTGAGGTGAGGCAGAAATCAGGGTAGAAAGAGTGCTGGAAAAGCTATTCATCTCATGGAGGTCAGCAGGTAGAAAAGAAAGATAACGTGCCTGGGATTCAAATTTCCTATGCACACCACACACACACACACACACACACACACACACACACCTATACACACAAAGCTAAATCCCATGTCTAACCTTTCCAGCTATCCCAATCACACTACCAGATTCCATCAGGGAAATTAATCACATTCCATCAGGGGAATTAATCCATCCCCGAGGCCAGAGCCCTCTGGGTACAATCACTTCTCAGAAACTTAACAGCTGGCAATCCTGCTTCCAAATGTCCTCATGGTGGACATTTCCTATTTAAACCGTAAGTAACACCTGCTTTTGGATTTCAGATCAAAATCCCCATACCTATCAAACTTTTCTTCTTTTGTTTCTTTTATATCATATTATATGTCTTTGTATACACACATATGTGCTCTGTTGTTCTGAATATCTCATTATACAAAAACTGTTCAATTCACTATCCACTTTCCAAAATGATGGAAATTTGAATGTGTGGGGGGTTTTGCTTTCAGTTTTTCCTGGTGTACACCTATTGTGAACAAAGCTGTTTTCTTGAAACTGTAGTAATGCCAAAAAAAAAAAAAAGTGGATACAGACAGTAAAAACTGAAAATATAAATTAGTTTCCTTGTCTGACAGGATTTCAACATTTAAGTTGCAAAGCACCTCTACAAAATTAGCCTTGAGTGGTGTATTTTTGTGCTGCAGCATTGAAAAAAAAAAAAAGAGCATTGGCTTGGGGAGTCTAGTGGAATTTTATTTTCTAATTTTACATACCTTGTACCTTTGCAAGCCATTCTCAGAGTCCTGTTGACCTCTGTCATTCCTGCTAGCTTTGGCAGGCACTGTGGGATGGGGACCACATTTATTTTGCCAACCAGTCCTTGTTTAAACTCTATCCATCATAAGCATAGACCTTCATACCCTTTTTGATGCACAGCAATTGACAGACACAGTAGACCCTACCTTAAGCCACAGCACTTGTGGAAATAATTCCACCATTAAATTATGTAGCACACTAAAACACCCCTTAAAAGTCCTTCACTCCTTTCTGTCACTACAATGCCACTCAAGCTGTAATGATATAGTGTGTTTTATCTCTTACCAACTGCTTGTTATAGCTATGTGAGGCCAGAATGAGTTCTTAATCACTGTAGTCTCCAGGCATTGGGGAGAGATGTACAGCACCTTCAGCCAAGGTCTGGGACACTGCTAAAGCTCTTTAGCTCTGGGGCTGGAGAAAAGACTCAGTGCTTAAAAGTGTGTAGTGTTCATGTAGAGTTTCTGAGTTGGATCCCCTGTACCCATTCATGAAGCTCACAATTCCAGTTTCAGGTGCCTACATAAGAATTATACTCAAATGCATCTGTGCACACACACACACAAAATTAAAAATAAATTAAATCTAACTAACAAACAAATACCTGTCAGGTGTTGACCAGCTAGGCTTAAAGCAAAAAGCAAAAAACAAAAACAAACAAACAAACAAACAAAAACCCAGCAAAACATTCTAGAAATCAAGACCAAAATAAAAGAGGCGCTGCCAGGCATGGGAGGCAGACTCAGCAACTAGGGAATTTGATTAGCAAACACAGGGGACTTGCCAGCATGTAGAATAGTCCTGAGCTGCCTTTGTGTCCTGATTCTGGATACAATCATAAATGTTTTTACTTGAGGAGAGTTTATCATAATTTCCAAAGAAGTTTCCATCACATGCTACGTGGTTCCAATACTGTAGAAGAACATTCTTTTAGGAAATTCACCACAATTAAGAGTGTAAAGAAGTTTCCTCTGAACAGAAACATTTTCCTGAGAAGGGAGGGGGAAACTCGTTGTCTTATTTACTGGTCAGTATTAAAAAATACACACAAGTAATGTTATATAGAACCAACAGGTTACATTTAAGGACACACACACACATGCACATATGCATACAGTAACAATTATTGAAAAAAGAGGTTATAAATTTGAAGGTGAGCAGGGAGGTATTGAGAGGGCAAATAGAGGGGAGAAATGCTGTAATTAAATTATAATGTCAAAATTAAATCAAGAAAGAAACAAAACAAACTTCAAATACCATGACCAGGCAATTTATGAAAGAAAGCATTTAGCAGGGGTTATGATTTAAGATGTTTAGAGTCCATGATGGCAGAGCAAAGGCACAAGGACAAGAACAGCTGAGAGCTAGCATCTCAAACCAGAAACAGGAAGCACAGAGCATGCTGGGAATTGCATGATTCTTTTGAAACTTCAAAGCCTTAGTGACACACCTCTTTCAACAAGGTCATGTCTCCTAATCTTTCCCAAACCACCAACAACTAGGGACCACGTTTCCAATGCTCAGACTTATGACAGACATCTCATTCAAACATCAGAAAAGCTCTAAAAATATCACATTCTGGGCATTCTGGGAGAACAGAAACTTGGAAGATTTTTGTGGCCTCTTCCTCAGCAATCGAGGAGTAAAGAACTGCCTGGGTGTCTGACTCAGAGCAGAACCATGGAGGTAAGAGGTAGCTGGACTGTGGAGTTGCCTGCAAGCTACGCAGAGGGCTCCTGAGCTATAGATTTTGTGAGTACTCACCTGTGCTGGGGTAAGCTTCCTGGTCATGCGGCTGCTTTTAGTCATCCCTGTTCCGTGTGAGTAGCCGTTCATCTACACTCCAGTTAATACTTTTGGTCACCAAGTTGGACTTTGGCAAAATTGTTACATTGAGTAAGTGTGTATGTGTGTGTGTGTGTGTGTGTGTGTGTGTGTGTGTGTTGGGTCTCCTAGGAAAAGATGGATTTGAAAGGTTACAGACTAACATTCTTTACTTTCCCCCAAGTGCATTCAGAAGTCATGACGGATGACGGCAGCATCTAAAAGCAGTTTGAATGTGGGACCCAGTTTTCAGCAACAAGGTCTTGGTGACGCTCATGGTTTGAATATGTAATATCTCCTATGCCTTATGTTTTAAATAATTGTTTCCAGGTTGACGGCAATACTTTGGAAGATGACGTGCAATCGTTTTGGCAAAAGTAAGCCAGGGGACCTGAGAAGAATGCAGTGGCCCCTGTTGCTGGTGTTTCTGCTCGCTGATCTTCCATGAGGTGAGATCTTCTCCTACAGTCTCTCATCTCCGTATTCTAGCCATGACTCCCTGACAGGGTGGACTGAGCATCCTAGAACCCTGAGCCGCGTCAACTCTTCCTTTATTTTGATTTATTCTTTCAGGCACTTTCCGCCACAGAGATATGAAAGACACTAACACAGGATCAAAGCCGAAGGATGATGTACTGCAAGCATTTAAAGGTATGAATGGGGTTGTTCAGCCTTTTCTCATCTTCTTCTTTAAGTCTGACCTCCTTGCTGGATGATGCCTGTGCGTCAGGCACATGCTCACTGGATAGAGACTTCTCAAATTTGGTCAATTTTCCATGAAGTTGAGCAAATCGAGTTTCCAAAGGAAGTTTCCTTTCATCGTATTTTCTAATCTATTATTCCAAACCATCTAATAAGTATTCACTTATTTATGATTATATCTGAGAGGCCAAATCTTTTAAGTTTAGACTCGATTTTACAGGATCTGACCTAAGTTTGAACTCAGGTAAACTAACAGGCTGGTGCCTAGAATTAGTTTCCAAGTTTCCCCCCAACAAAACTGGAGCCTAATTCTAGTCTCTAGGCTAATCCCCAACAAGACCAGCATCTACAGGTTACACCCTCAACAAGGTGGGCATCTTCAGGTAATTCCTCCAACAAATCTGCACCCCAGGTTACATGCCAACATCCTGCCTAACAACCACCAGTGCAGAAGGGAGCAGAAATTAACTTTATGATATGACTCCTAGCACCAGCCAATTATGTTAAAGGCCACAGTAGCTTTCCAATTAGATGCTTGCACACTTACCCCCCCTCACACACATACCCCACTTGCTGCTTACTATAAAGTCTTCCCTCAATAGATAATCAGGGCTTCCCCTTCACCAAAATCATTCTGTGTAACAGTGGTGGGTTGGAGGGGTCTGAGCTAGCTTGAATAGAATAAAGACCCTACTGTTAAATGGATCTGATTGGCTCCTTTCTGTTTTTGGGGACCATTAACATATCCCTGGAACTACATATTTTCATTTAGCTGATTTTTTCCTCTCATATATCTAAACACAGAATTAAGTAAAATTTAAACTGTCATTTTTCTTTTTTATTACATTGAATATATTTTGGTAGTATTGGTATAGACCACACCAAAAGTAAAAGTGTTAGAGGGGGTCTTTCCTTCCACTGCATGGATCCCACACATTGAATTTAGTCATCAGGTTTGGCAATAGATGCCTTTACCTGCTGAGCTACTTTACTGGCTCACAATCAATGATTTTTCCCACATGAGGCTGTTGGTAGCATTCTTCTAGACTAGTTTTATGGAAAGAGAGTTGTGGTTTGGATAAAAACGGCCCATCATATATTTCAATGCTTGGCCCACAGTTGTTGGTGCTGTTTGGAAGTGGTTATGAGATGCAGCCTTATTAAAAAAGGCATGGCCTTGGAAGTGTGTCACTGTAGATGGTCTTTGAGTATTCAAAAGCTCAGGCCAACCAAGCTCTCTCTCTCTCTCTCTCTCTCTCTCTCTCTCTCTCTCTCTCTCTCCTCTCTACCTCTCTACCTCTCTTCTCCCCCCACCTCTCTCCTGCCTGTGGATCAAGATATAAAGCTCTCTCACCTACTGCTCCAGTGCCATGCCTGTCTGCTTCTTGCTATGATGATCATGGACCAACCCTCTAAAACTGCAAGCAAGCCCCCAACTAAATGGTTTATTATATAAGTATTCCCTTGGTCATGGTATCTCTCTTCACAATAATAGAACAGTAACTAAGAAATGGTTACATAGTAACTTGTCTCTCAGAGTTGGCCTCTTTGGTATCATTGTAAGCAGTGGTTCTAAATCTTGCTAATGCTATGACCCTTTAATTCAGTTCCTCATATTCTGATGACTCTCACCAATAAAATTATTTTCATAGCTACTTCATGACAATAATTTTGTTACTGTTATGAATTGTAATGTAAAGATCTGTGTTTTCCAATGCTCTTAGGTGACCCCCATGAAAGAGTCATTCAAGCCCTAAAGCATCACAACCTACAGCTTGAGAACCATTGGTTTAAGAAATCAATATTCTCCCTGGCAAAGACACCTGCCTCATAGCTTTTGATGAGTTTCTGGCAATATCTCTCTTGTGACAGACTGACTAATAAGCATAATGGTACATTCTGGCCTGGTAAAACCTCTTTTTCCAGTCCTAAGGATGGAACCCAGGACCTTACATGTGTTAGGCAAATGCTCTGTCTCTGATGTATAACTCCAATAGATTTTCCAGTTTTATACTAAGATAGGATATCACTAAGTTTCTCAGGATGGCTTTGAACTCATTCTGTGTCCCAGACTGGCACTCTACTTGTGGTCTTCCTTCTTCAAACCCCCAAGTACTTGGAGTGACATGCCTTTAACAATATGCCCTTCTCTCATAAAGCTTTTTAAAAGGCAAAGTTTCTCTTTTGTTCTGTCTGGTTTGCTTATAAAAGAGTGATAGTGAAGTCTGGGGTACAGTTTTGATGATATGCAACTTTATGTGAGATTTACTGAATTTTAGATTACTTTTTATGTACTTTCAGTAACATTATATCTGCACAAACTTGGAATTATTCATCAAAGTTCCATGAATGACTGGAGATTCAGAAAGGTCAAGGCAGTGTCCAGGTCCTCAGGGCCAATAACAGATTGTTCAGTTCCAACTCTATATGCTTCTATTAGGTGAGGCTACTCAGAACAAACTGTCAGGAGTTTGGACTTACTGGTCAGACAAGGCTCTTCCTCAAGTATGCTCTCTGGAACTTTTTGCATTTTATCCATTTGTTTGTTTGTTTAATCTGTCTGTCTGTCTGTCTGTCCATCCATATCTATCTATCTATCTATCTATCTATCTATCTATCTATCTATCTATCTATTGAGATAGGGTCTCATTATTGTATCTCAGACTAAGCTTGTATTTGGAAAGATCCCCTGGCCTTGACTCCTGAGTGTTGGAATTACAAATTTGCCAGGCTAGACTTCATCCATTTCAGTACAATTTTCTCTTGGGCCATTTCTGGGACACCTGCTGTATTGCATTATCATACAAGCAAAGAAATGAAGAATGCTCAGACATTAGTAGCTTGTTGTTTCCTAATGTGTTCAATAACATTGAACTTGACAGAGGGGAACCTTGTGAGAGAACCAGAATGGCATGAATTACTCAAGGTCATCCCTACCTTGGGTGACTTTTTATTTTCCTTATTATTTGGCACTGCCTGTTTATCTTTTTACACTTTCTGTCTGATGTTTTCATGCCTAGAAATGATCATATTAGGATTACAAACTGACAAATATGGTCAAGCTTGATAACGTAAAATATTGTATTATTTAAGATAGAGTTTCACTATACAGTTCTAGTAGCCCTAGTTTGTCTAGAACTCACAGGGATTTACCTGCTTCTGCTTCCTGGTTATTTACTTTTGTGTGTGTGTGTGTGTGTGTGTGTGTGTGTGTGTGTGTGTGTATGTATGAAGGTGTGTGTGCCACAGGGCATATATGAGGTCAGAGGAGAACTCTCAGGGGTCAGTTCTCTCCTTCAACTGTGTGAGCCCTGGGAGCCAAACTCAGGCCATCAGTCTTGGCAGCAAGCACCCTTATTCTCTGAGTGATCTCAGCAGATCTAATTTGATGATTTACCTACACTACTTATACTGACCTCTCTGAAGCTTGCTAGTTTGGTTATATAATCATGATAAAAACGTGCTTTTCTGCTAAGTAATTGTTTGCTTGCTATACCAACTTAAAAGACAATGGCTTTTGGACAACAAATTGGGAAGTTTTTGATACTCAGTAGGGAAGATGACTTGGAGAAGGTCAAGTGTATAAACAAAGACAATTTTTAGACATTCGTTTTATTAAGGAGAGGAAACAGACTGCAGGAAAAGAGATTTGAAGGAACAGAACAAAAGAGAAATGAGAGGGTTGCAGGAGAGAAAGGTTTAGAGGTACATGAGTAAATACAAAGTACATGCAGGGAAGAAATTGTCTCTATGAAGCCCATAACTCTGTTCATCAAACACATACCAATAAAATTTTTAGAAGTTGATATGAAGCCTTGGTGATAACAAGTAGTGACAGGCAAGCTTTCATGATCTTAATATCATCACAGTTACAATAACAATAGCAAGTCCTGACTGAAGCCTCTGGCAAGCCAGATCCCCCATGAGGCCCTAAGCAAGCAGCATTTCAGTTTAGTCTCTGTGTGGCCTGTAAAGCAATGCACAAGGCAGCGGAAACCATTGTAGCAGAATGAACTAGGCAGCCATGTGTAACACAAAGGTGAAAGGTCAGCTTTCATTGCATACGAAGTTTGTAAGATGATGAAATAAACGTGCATTTTCCAGTTGGATATTATAGAACTCTGCAGCTATGGTCTAAAAGAATCTTTTAGTTTTAAAGAAAATAACATTAAATTTAACTGGATTTTATCTAAACCTCTGTACCTGCTTTTTACACCTCATTAGTCCAAAAGAGGGTTTGTATTTATTATCGTTTTAAAAACTTAGGCTCAAAACCTCCCTGTC